TATATATATATATATATATATATATATATATATATATATATTGCAACCGCACTCACGAGCGTGGCGCAACTTCGTCGCGCGTTCATAGCAGATTTCCTTATGCAATCGGATTATGGGTGACTTTAAACGAAACGCAACAGAAAGGCGTCTTCACGCAGCCACTTTTAAGGGCAACACAAAATCACGAAACAATAGTTGGGCGCCAGGCAGTGAGCGTGCCACTCTTTCTCGAAATTACGCGATATTTCTCTATGCAATATTCTAATGGGCTGTGAACCGACGGGCTCTCAACCGGTAGCTCAGCCTCGGAAATGGCAGAGGGAGCGGTTCGTGGTCGAGGATAGAGGATCGTTTGGAGGAGCAAATAGTAACGGCAATAAAGCATAGAAGAATTAATAGTAACAAAAATAACAAGTATATTGAAGAAGTCTTCGACTGTCATTTACATCTGCCGACAAAATTGTGGCGATAAGATCTGACCAAACGCGATAGCTGTTTCGCACCGGCCTCGAAATGTTTTACGCGGTGCGTACCAATTTCGTTAGAATTCTGCGGCACGAGCTCACGCCACCCAAGGATACTTGCGCGAATTATGCGAACAATAATTCGCCGCTTCTCCCGGCGATAGAATTTGATAAGGACTGTAACGTAAACACGGCGTGACTTCATGCGCGCTCGCGGGGCTTCGCCACGCTCGACCGAAGATCAGAGAAGGACAGAAAAGGCGCAAAAACTTGACGTTACGCAATCTCGATATGATAGAATATGCGCAACTATTAATTACTCTAACAAATTATTGTTAATTACGATTCAGATTGCCGATACTCTAAGAGACATGCAGATCTTACGCTGCAAGATTCCGAAACGACAAGATACTCGCCAATGTTACAATACGGAACTTCGACACGATACGATACAAAAACATGACACGCGACAAAACCTTACGATAAATGACGAGGCTGTGGTCTTGGCGGACGCCATAGAATCTCCCCGACTATAAATGACCATCCCGGGAGGCGACACGAATTCCACAGAAATCTAATGCACGGCAATGCGCTCACTACAATATGTCCTATAAAATTGCGATACAATTGCGCCTCCCGGATTTGGAAATCGGCGACTTTACAAATGACAACGTTCGTCTCACCGTGACCTTCAGCAGTGGTTCGCTCTAATCTCCCCTCGATTGGCTCGCTCTGGATTTTAGCTGCCTGAGTTCTTTCGAGGTCCGCTCGCTATCTCGGCCACAGCTCAAGTGCCGGGCGCTGATCCTCCCAGGAGCACGCAGGGCTCGTTATCCCCGTGAGGGGGCCTTATCGCGCCTTATTGGCGCGCGGCTTCGCTAATCGCGGGAACCGCGTCATGCCCGTGTCGCATGTCTTGGAGCGCGAAATTTGAGGGACCGCAGGATCTTCTCGGGCCACCTCGTGGCCTCGAGGCGTCTTCTCGGGGCTCTCGCCGTTCTTGAGGCGTAGAGTGGCCATCCCCATCCTGCCATTTCACTCCTCGTTTCGCCTTGTGCCTAGAAAATGATGCGATAAAAGGTGTCTTGCGATAGCATAAAGGGCGAAATAATGAATGATATCACCTGCGTGCGACCCGGGGAACAGGCCTCGGCAAATCCGTCCGCAGCGGTCGTTACTCGACTTCCAGTCTTGGTCGTCTTCCTTCTTCTCTCTTCACGGTGAGGCGGCGTCAATCTGCCAAAGAAGTCGCCAGTCTCTATAACTCTCGTACGGAAATACACAAAAAAGGAAACGAAAACGCGAAACGCGTGAGACACGCAAAATAACGTCGCGAAAAAGCATAGATGCGTCCGCCCCCTAAAATGTGGAAGGACTCAGGACGCCAGACTGCACTATTCGGTCGGGTCGTGCGACCCTTGTGACGGACGGAAAACGCACGTCACAATATAATATATATATATGTGTGTTTGTGACAGGTCGCTGATGTCACCTTGTATTGAAAGCCTAGCTCACCAAGGCGGTTGTAATGATGTCGATTCTCTTTGTTTTAACAATTTGCTTTATTCGTGAGTCGGAACGAAGTTGCTTTCGAAGCGGGCAGTCGGCAATGTTCACAATCCGAAATTTACTACGTTCTGTGCGATGCGTACTTGATACAACGATGACGAACTTTTCATGTTGCAGTTATCCGAATTAGTATTGCAACAACGCGACCGGCAAATCTCGCCGCAATTCTTTCTCGCACTGATAGAGTCCTCGCGGTACGCGTATCTCGGAACGCTACGAATTAGAATACTGAAGATACGCGACACGTCGTTTTGTTCGCACTCAATTTTCGATGATCATCGATCGAGATTCGGCAGCGAACTGACGATTCGCACACGGAGCGTGTGCGCGATCGATGGTTTTCGGGATTTGCGCAAGGGGGGTCGCGTGCCATTTGAGACAGACAGCTTAATCAGAACAGGAGCGATATGCTTGTTTTGACGACTCGGTATCGACGAGCTGTTTGCTTGCTCCGAGAATATGAAAAATAACGGTAATTCCGGAACAATATATATATATATATATATTAGGTGTACAAAAAAGTTCTGAGCTTTAGATTTGATACAACCGAAATAACAATTTAAATTTTATATATCTTCCCGCCCTTTTGGGGTTTTAAAACAGTAACATTTAACCTCCTGAAATGCGATACGGTTTGGCGTTTGATGCACATAACCTCAAAAATCAGTAGTGTTCACGATGGCAATTACAAAAGAGCATATTCGATTTTCCATCCACTTCGCGTTTCATCTGAAGAAAAATGCTGCTGAAGCCACTGAAATGATTTGTGCTGCATATGGAGAGAACGCTGTAAGTCATGCAACATGCAAAAGGTGGTATCAAAAGTTTC